GTGTTATTACTTACTAATAGCAAGAAATAAAATATATTTTTTTCTTACTTAACACCAGTCGGTAAAGTAGAAGCTGCCGACTAATATCGAGTTATAGTAATTTTCGTTTCTTGGGTAGAAAGATAGGGCACTTCCTTTGAATCCCAAGAATGCAACGGACAAATAATGGTTGAAAATCTAATTAGCTTTTGTACAAAATACATTGTATCTTTCTTCAAATAGAAGTGCGTATTATCAAGGAAATTTTATAGTAATACGCATTAATTTGTCTGGTTACATCAAGAAAAACCTAGTTGACAAAATCATGTTCATGAAATTGTAAGCAAATGCCCTACAAATACATTTACATTCCACATTAATTAGAAGATATAATGCTGATTAATTACAATAAACCGCATTCTGTTTAAAAGTTTTTAGTGCTATGAAATAAGTATCACAATTCTTTTTTAAGTTGTTACAACTTCTTCTAGTTTCACAACTTTTTCTAACTTTGAAAATAATATAAAAAACTGACAATATACAGAGTGTAATATAAAGATCACCCTAAATAAGTATCTTTAGAATCCTTATCAAAAATTTAAGCAGAAAAATATGCAAATTGGAGGTTACAAATAAGTATTTAACCGCCCCTCCCCCCGAAAAAAAAACAATAATGTTTTTCAGATCTGACAAATTACGGTTCACAGAGGCAGGAGTAAAATAGCAACGAGTTAAAAAAAGATCATTATTCGAAACACCTTCAAGTTTAAACCTCCAATTAAACCTATTTTGGTGGGTTTTTTTCATCTGTTATTCTCTACCGTAATTGATCAAATTTCGACAGCATTTTTGTTTTTTCCTAGGTTAAATATTAGTTTCCAACCCCAATGAGCATTAATTTTAATTTTTGCTAAATAATTTTCAAAAATGTTTTAAAACAGCGAATAAATGTTTTTTTTTCTTAAATGCTTAATAACTCTTGACTTATAAATTTTAATTACATTAATTTTCATTAAACTTGTTTGGAAATCATAGCTTATTCTTCATATAATATTTTTCTTCAGTCTAATAGTTATAGGCTAAAAAGCATCATTTTATAATAAAAATAATAAATAAAAATAAGAGTAATAGATTTTAAACGTTCCTTACCTCTCTGCACGAGAATGAAACTAATAAACGACACATAATTTCTTTTTAAACTTAAAATCTCGTAAAGTTCTAGAAAGTCTTTACTTCTGAGGAAAGAAAAGTTCACTAAAGTTAATAAATTCCTACGTTTTATTGTTTCACGCAGGACACATTTATGACTAAAGTTTGCCGATACGACGGTGCTCTTTGTTATTGAAAACGATTACGATTTAGAACTCAAATTTAATCATAATTTCGGATGACGGGCCAAAAAATCAATAGGAATTCTTTAGAAAAACAGCTGTTCCCAATGTCGTTTGAAGTTAAACGAGCATCTCCTACCATGATACTCCAATCGTTTGGCCGACAAATAAAGTATTTTATTTGAGAATAACTTTGTGAATTCGATTAAGTACTAACGATTTGACTATCTAAAAGAAACTATTCAAAAAACAAGTTTTCTTAAAACACTGAAGCAAACGATATTTACAAAATTGCAAACTATATTTAAAGTTAAAAAGTTTTATAATCATTAAGTGAGATCAAATGCACAGAGAAGTATATAACGATTTCCTAGTCGAATGTTAGAGCGCATAAAAAAGCGACGCTTTTTCTTCTTTTTTCCCTTTCTTTATTGTAGCATAATGCACGCCGAAATGGCAACGCTCTGTCCATAATGTTTTTTATGCCAAGCTCGACAAAAGGCTTAACTACAAATTAGACGAGATAATCATTTTCTTTTTTTTATATTTTTTCATTGTAATCGTTTGATTATTTAAATTATTTCAGTTACATGAAATACATAGAAACGTATTTTTTAGAAATGTTTTGCGTTGTTGAAGACAAAAATACATTTTGTGAATTACGATTTATTTTAAATATTTTAATTTATCATCATTTTCTTCTTCTTAAATTTATTTCAATGTTGTATTTAATGCGTATTAACATAAAGTGCACCATTAATTCTTTTAAAGTAATGAAAGAATAAATACGGAGAAACGTTGCTAATGTATTTTTTTTCTTTCTCTGTTTATAGTAGAATTTTTTATATGACAGAAGAGAAATAGACTGAAGCAAATAAAAATATGAACGAAACACTCTTCGCTTAGAATAAAACTAAAATCTAAAATTACAAATTTATGTTTTTACGTAAAGGCACAGTGTGAAAAAGTTTCAAAGCACTAACTTAAATCCAAATAAATCAATCTTATTTCAATAATTTTTATTGAAATGAAGTAATAAACTCAAATTTGAAATAATAAGTCAGAAAGACTTATTCAAATTTTGTTAACATATGTTTTACTAACCTGGAGTAGCTTAAAATATTTTAGAAGGGCAGCAAAAAAACTTTATTGCACAGCTTTTAGATAGCAAATTACAGATTTTGTGTATCAAATTTTAAAACTAAAATTCATATAATAATTTTGTGTATCAAATATATAACTAAAATTCATATAATTCATTCATATATATTCATTCGTTTTTCATATAATTATTTAAAATGAAACTAATCATTAACTGGCCAATTTACTCCAGTACGAATTTAACAGGGCGATTTGCCATTGATTGTTCGAAATATAATTTCACAAAAACGTGACGAGCATCTGTATAAAAAAGACCATGGAGAATAAGTTGCCTTCCGTAACAAATTAGTCGCTGCTTCGAAACAAATTGCGAACAGGAATCTGTAATCTGAATAGCAAAGAAGATAAATTGAATTCACTCCCTGGCGATGCAATCGAAAAACGTAAGTAAAATCACATTTCTAGCAGGATGAGAGCACAACATTTACTTTGAATCGATAAGTAATTAAAAGGTGAGAGTTAAGCATATGAAACTGCTAAAGGGAAAGAATTAGCATTTGATTTCATATAATGATTATAAAATATTTTAACTTTAAATGAAATTTTCAACTTTGTAAACACGTTTTAAGAAAACTTATTTTTTAAAATATTGCTTTTAAAGAGACAATTTATTATTTGTAATCGATAGCAAGTGAAAGAGGAGAGTTTTGCAATTTTAATTGCTAGGAAATAAGAATTTCCATTTAATCATGAGCGAAAATACTTAAAGACGATCCAACCTGATGTCATTACAAAGCTTTTCTTGTAATTTTTTCGGTCCCTACGGGCCCCCAGAGCCTTCCAGCAACTTACTTAAGGAGCGTCCCTGAGAGTAATTTTGTACCTTTTTTGGCAGCGATAGCATTTTAAATTTCATGCAAAATAACTGAAGTACGAAAAATAACTTTAGGGATATCAGACAAACAATTTTTGGAATCATTACAAGAGTTATGTAATTAATTTGTTTTTCGTATTTTGACAAAAAAAAAAAGAACTTATGTTTTAGCAGTCCGAATCCATCGCTGTCGTAATAATTCCATTTTTGCTCTATTATCAGAGTAGTTAGAAAATTTTAAATAAATCCTCAAAGATAACACCGTACATTTATCCCTATACAAGGGTCAAACCTAGAAAAATGGAAACATGATAAGTTCATGGTTGTAGTTGTAGTTAATTTACGTCGCACTAGAGCTGCACAATGGGCTATTGGCGACGGTCTGGGAAACATCCCTGAGGATGATCCGAAGACATGCCATCATAATTTTGATCTTCTGCAGAGGGGATGGCACACCTGCTTCGGTAGCTCTACAGCATATACGCGAAGTCGAGCACTTCACAATAGAACAGTTTAACGAGGACCAATACCGCACACCCTCGGTCCCTACGCAGACTAATCCAAGTGGTCACCCACCCGCACACTGGCCGCAGTCAATGATGCTTGACTTCGGTGATCTGCTGGGAACCGTGTCTTAACGATCAGTCCACTGCGGGACGATAAGTTCATGGAGCTTCATCGATAAACTTTGTTTGGCGGTAATTTTATATCGTGGTTATTCGCCAAGGTAATACGACAAGGCAGCGAATTTTACGCAAAAAAAATTTAACCATTGAATATCACGTTTATAAACGATTTAATTTTTTCGCTTGCTTTAGAATTATAAAGTGATTTTAGCAATAAAATCATAGATATAACGTAAAGTAGTATAAATGACACAAAACATAACTAAAACAGAAAAAAATTTGGCACAAAACAAAATAATCAAAATTTAGTCATCTGATGCAAACCACTTTGGTTATCAAATCCGTTTAGTTAAAATCACCTTTTAGCAGATCATGCACTTGTAGTTATAGATGTTTTGTGTGGATTAAGTTTCCTTCTCGACAGTGCATGATAATTGAAATAATTACATTGACCGAATTTAGAAATGTTATACAGAAAATATTGTCACAAACATTTTAAAATAACATTGCAGTTACTTTAACGTAACATTCAGTTTTGCAAAGCGTAGAATCTTAGTTAGTATTTTAATCCAACTTTATTTTCGTTATTTCATTTGCTTTTGCAAAAAAAAGTTTTGAGGTATTCTTTGAAATTTTTACAAATCTTCATTGGTATACTATATCAAATATATATCAGCAATTTCGTTTGTAATGAATTACTACAACCATCTTTAACTTCATAAAGCACAGTCAAACATGGAGTCTCCTAAAACATTTTTCTAATGGTAGTTTAAGTGCTGGTTCATTCTTCGTTTAAAATCGCTTAAAAAAACGTTTAATTTTATTGACCTTAAAATTATTTTCTAAGATATGATCAAGTTGACACTTCTAATTTCGTATTATTAAACCAATGTATCAAAATTCATTCGATTTAGAATTTGGCGAAACTTATATATCATGCTATTATACTATTATATCATGCAATCCAAAAATATTTCGAAGATATATCATTTTAAATTAATGCAATTTCAAAGCTTAGAAATGTCTAAACTAATAAAAAAAGATATTTTGTTGCCATTCAAAATTACAGTTTGATTTTATAACTTATAACTTTTATGTTATAAATAAAGTACCTCAGCCCTCCGCTAGCCAATTTGGTATTTTTAACATTTTGATGTAAATCTGGTATAAAGGCATACACGGTATTTTGCGAAATACATTGGTTCCAATAATCCAATATTTCTTTAATGTGATTATGATAACATAATAGTTTCTTAATTAAACCTTATTTTCTATGAAGAAAAATCAAAACTTTTAATTTTGAAGATATTATATAATGATAATGCGTCATTTTGGTGCTAGTGAAATTTTCACAATTAGGTGAGCCAAGGTCTCGTACCAAGTGCAAGGATTATAATAATCTTTTTATAATATTTCTGGTTACTTAAAATCAGGTTAAAATTTCTACATCTAATTACAATTCTACTATACAATAACATAATTATACAATACTTTCAATAATTTTTCTTAGATACTAATAGTTTTCATAATATTCTTCGCAATTTAGAAATTTACAATTTCACTATTTTTTAATTTTTCCTTGAATTTGTTCCACATAAAAGCTTGTCTTTCACTCTTTTTCATCGCCCTACCAACGTACAACACTTTACCATAAAGTTGAGTACCATTAAGTTGTTCCACTGCTGTTTTAGCTTCTTCCGTTTTCTCAAAACTAACAAATCCAAAACCTTTAGATTTCCCGTCGTCATTTTTCATAACTCTGGCGCTTAAAATGTTTCCATACTTGCTGCACAGCTCGATGAGATGTATGTCGTCAATTTCAGGTTGTAGAGGTTTCAGATAAATATTTGTAAACGAGTCATGTCTTTTGTGAATCGATTCAAACTTGCAAACACCCACTTTCAGTCCTTTTATTAGATGGTTGTTCACTCCTTCTATGGCAGCATCAGCTGAATCTTCATTTTCAAACTGCACATAACCCAGGCCTTTAGACATTCCGTTTTTGCAGCAGTCTACTTTCAGAGATAAGATAGTGCCGTACGAGGAAAATATGTCACGTAAAGCTGGTTCATCTATAGATGAATGAAGATTTCTTACAAATATGTTGGCAGACGGATTGAATGTTTTAATATCGGGTCTTACCCACATAATGCGTATAGGTTGTCCTCCAACAGGTTCATAATTCATCGAATTCAGGACATATTCAGCATCATTTTTATCAGCAAAGTTTATGTAGCCAAAGCCCAAGGACCGTTTTGATTCTTTATTTCTGGCAATGTGAATGTTAAGTATTTTGCCAGCTGATCGAAATTTTTTATATAATGTAGATTCTGTGCAGTCAGGATGAAGGTTACTAACAAATAACGACATTCTTCTTTCTCCAATATAAAGATTTTTATGAAGTTTTCAGCAGAAATAAAGAGTTTGAACTCGTTTTAATCGCAAATTTCAATAATAAACATTGCAAAATATTTGAAAGTTTCACGAGATGCTCATGAGAGATACTCGGTTGAAGTTAATATAAATATGTTCCGAATTAATTTACACAATTTATTTATTCACAAATGTAACCAAAATTAGTTAACTGCCACTTGTAACGAATGTAACGCAAATTAAACTGACACAGCAAAGACTTTTTGAAGTAAACGAACTCAACTCTGAACCATTAACCCCTTAACACACAGATTTTTTGGAGAAAAAAACAGAAAAAAAAATTTTTTTTTAATGTAAAAAAACCTAAAAAACTCCTGGTTCAACTTTTCCTTCGGTGGACAATTTTGATATACTGCGCTTTTGTTCCATGGAAAAAGGCTATATTTTATTCTCGAATAAATAAGTGTTATAGCTTACTATCCTATGTAAATGATAAATATCAATAAAAGATTTTTTTTTCTTAGCTTTCACATTGTTATTTTTAACTCTCGATTATATTCGAGTGTGAAAAATTATAGCATCATAAAATACAATGCCGCTCGAATTATCTCTAGTGTGCACCAGTTTGGCCTGTTTAGTGCGCACGAATTAACTCGAGCGCACAAGTTAAGGGGTTAATACTTAGAGAAAAAGAATTAATCCTTAAGAATTATCCTTAAAGAATTAATTCTAACCATTCAATAGAACTAAGACAAAACAAATTACCAAACGATTACTAATATTACAAATTCAATTAAAGGAAAATCAGTAACTCATTAATCTAACGATTAACTCATCAATATGATTATTAGTTCAACATTTTACCATTGAGTGGCGCTAAAACCGTTTGGGATTGTGTTACCATTTTGCGGCACATTAGAGTAAAAACTATATATTCCTCTGTGGTTTCCATTCTTATGTTGGAGCAGATAAAGAAGAATCACGTTTTTATTTCAACACTCCCAAAAAGATTCCATCGGATTGATGCGAAATAAAAAAAAAAACCTAACTACTAGTTAATTGTTTTTTATGAGTTAATTGCTTTATTTCATTATTTATTGCTGAATTTATGAATCATTTGGTTATTTCCTTAGTTTTAGTTCTATGAAATGCTTAAATGTTAATTCTTTAACAATATCGTGTGCTAATAAAGATAAAAGTACATTTAAAAAACTACAACTGAATTTAAATATTTTTCATCATTTTTCTTGTTTAATTAAATTCAATGATTAATAAAATGCAAACAAAATAAATATTTATACGGATGATATGCACAATTAATCATTTCAAACTCATTAGAAAATTGTGAAAAAGTTTTATTGATGTAAATTTTTCTTTTCTATGTTTATAGTAGGGATTATCAAATGACATAATGAAGTAAACAGGCGTAAAGAAAAAAATTATATTTTTCACGAATAATTTAACGAAAATTTAAGATAAAAGTTTTGGAATTACTTAAAAAATTTCCTTTTTCTACATGAATGCACAATATGAAAATTTTTTAAAACATTAACGTAAATTCACGCAATCTTGTCTATAATCAATATTTTTTATTCAAATGAATATTGAATATGATTACGAGAGCGAAAAGAATGCTTACGAGAGCGAGAAAGAGTTCTAGCAAACATGTTCACCATGTTTAATACCAAGAAAGGAAAAATGAATATGATAATCAAATGAAGTTGTCAAAAGTTTCATGTTAAATTTTTCTAGAGTAAGCGATTTATTTTAACAGTTTAGACTCCGCAGTCTAGAGAATAAATGAATATATTGATGTTAATCATTGACGTTATCAGATCTTTTTTGAAAAATGGTGTTAAATCACATGACGTGTTTATCACACTCTTATTTCAGAGCACACATTTAATTTATTTCATATTGCATAGCTTTAAAAAATTTTACAGAAAATTCTAATTTTTTTATTTATTTACTAGGTGGCTTTTAGCCCCTCCTCGCTTTCGTTCGACAATCCTCGTGTCTTTTCGATTGAATCTTTCGCTTACTTCACTAGTTTGATCCTACAATTGAGCACCTTTCTCACATGGCAAAAAATCAGCGTATTAGAGTCGAAAAAAATTTATCCTTAAAAACATACAAGTTCACAATTGTATTATTCGCCACCCACATGGTCGAGCAGTTAGCGTGCCTGACTACGAAGCCAATGGTTGCGGATTCGAATCCCGCTCATGTCATGGATGTTTCTCTGTGTGTGTTAGTCTCTATTGTGCGATGGGTATCTGTGGCAGTGTGGCGTTGCTCGCCTCCGTGACTTAAGTTCGCAAGTGCCCACTGGGTAGCGTTTAAGGAGTAATACTTCTGGCATCTTTCTAGGCGAAGAACGTAAAAGTTCATTGTCCGCCATTAGAAAAAAAAATTGAATTACTTCAAAACTAATTAGAAATTTAAACAAATATGCATCATTCATCTTCAAACTAAAGTGTTAAAAATTCCGATTAACGTTGCACCGAAAATTGGTATTCATTGGCTAGCTACATAAAATGGAGCTTAATTTTACCATATTTTGGTGTTTTCACTAGCTACTACTAGAGAATATGCTTGATTAAAAACTTCATATTAAAAAATCTGGTTGCTTAATCGTATTAGGTGAAAACAGTCAATAAAGAAGTTTTCTCATAATCAAGATATGAATACCATCATTTTTACGGTGATTTTGAATTTTACGATTGAACGTGGTCACATTAAATGCGGTTGTGGAATTGAATGTGGTTACATTAAATGTGTTTTGGGAATTGAATGTCGTTACTGCGAAATTTTTAGCAGTGTACCATAATGTAATATTATAGCACACGGAGAAAAAAAAATCTGGTAAAATTGAAGTACAATATTTTAATGACATTTCTGATTTAAAAAAAAAAGCATAATTCAGGTTAATAAAACCAGGAGTATTTAAGGATATTTAATTCCATTCAGTCAGTAATTTTTCTGTTCATATGGTAACGATTTACCGGAACTTTGGTTTTCAATTCAGTTTGTATCTGTTTCAAGGTAAATAATGAAAATGGAGTTTTATTTTATCTTTAAACTAGAAGATGAATTTTCACCGAAGATAATAAAATGACATCTCTGTGGGGAGATTTCCCTGAAGTAAGTAATGGATTTTTTCAAAATTTTTAACTGTTTCGTTGAAAAGATTAAATAATATTGTTTAGGTGTTATGGTGAATGCAATGAATTGGTTAATATTAATCACCGGTTATTATTAATGACAACCAATCAAGTTGGTTAAAGTGAATAAAATCTATCGAAGTATTAATGAAAATATGAGTGTATGGAAAGCGGCTATGCATAACAATCGTTGTTTGTTAGTTTTAATCAAAGAAAGTGATTGCCATTGTCCGGTTAACCCTAAACTGATGTTTCTAAGTTAAAATTCCAGTCCCCGAAACACAATTTCTCGATTTACCCTACAATGATGTTTTTTAACGTTAAATGCTACTTCTTGGTACGCATTCGCTTAAAACCCAATGCTGGTGTGTCTACTTCTTGGTATGGTTAAGAACTTTAAAAAAATTAATAGCGTAAAAGGAATAAAAACCTTCCAACGCAAAGTATTCGCACAACAATTGAACAACGCATGCAAAGTGCGGTAGCTTGCACCCAAGGTAAACAAACAACTGATAAAACACCCACAGAGTTGTTATTTTAACATCTTTCGTGATTTAAGCATCTACGTAAGAAATTTGATCAAATCTCTGATTTTATCATCTCCCTGCGACACATTTTTTCCCAAAAGAGTTATCTGCGCCTTGCAATCAATCAACGAAATTTAGTGTGAGGAAATCTCAAAAAGAAGAAAAACGGGGTCAGGTGACATTTAAGACAGTTTTATATCATTTTATAATATCATAGACGTTTTATCGTTGTTATATTATAAATAAAAATTTGCGTATAGACACGTAGTAAAACTGCTTCATTCGTTGAATTTTAAAAAATACAAATATTTTATAGATTTTACTCTGTTAAATTCAGAGTTACTAAATATCTAAACAAATGAATAAAAAGTAATTAAAATTTAGAATTTTTTTCTTACAATCATATTAATTAGCCATACAAGAATTTAGTGCTGATAAAAGAGCTATCTCTACCTTCGGATCGAAGACTTATGCATGTCGTAGAATAATTGGAACATCCAACTCCTTGCAAATCTCAAGAGATAATCAGTGATCAACAGATAAATAAGATCAGCAGATTAATAATCATTTATACTGTCGCATATTTCATATTAATTAATATAAGTCAATATGCTAATTAGGAAACATGCATAAAACTACTTAACAAGATTAAATTTCCTTAAGCTTATAGCAATGAAACTTTAATACGGTAGGATTGCCACAGTAAAAAATGAACAAAAATAGTTGCTTTTAGTAGCCTCAAGCATGAAAATAGTTGCCTAAAACTATGAAAATATTTGCCTCAACAGGTACAAAAATTTATCAAAAATAGTAGCCAAATAACTAAAATTATAGCTTAATTGTCAAATATTGTTATGCTTCAATTAAAAAAATGTTTTGCACAAACATAAAAGGTTTATATATTAGAAAATAGGTACAAAAATAAAAGTCGAGTTACAATAAAATATGAATGTTAATAGAAGAAAAAAACAATTAAAAATAACAAAACTGCCCCCTAGAGAGAACATATAACAAGAACGTTATGAAATTCAATGAAAATTTAAATTTTTGGCTCTTTGGACATAAATGATTGTATAAAAGTTTGCTTTCTTTTATTAACGTTCTGAAAAGTAACGTTCACTTTTGCGAAAAAACTTCGCAAAGAGTAAAAAAAGTCTCCTAATAATCGCCTATTCCTGAAAATAGTTGCTTTTTAGGCCTTTTCAGGCAAAAAAAGTCGCCATAGTCGCTTAAGGCCGAAAATAGTAGCAAATAGTTGCATTTTAGTAGCCTGTGGCAACCCTGAGGGTATATGAAATAAGCATTCACTAGTCTAGGCTTATTGGAAACTGCTTAAATAAATCAGGCTATTAACTTCGATTAAGGTAGTTGGATTCACTTCAAAAAACTTAAAAAGTGTCAGGTTGATTAAAAAATACAGGAGACTTTTCCTATTTATCTGATATTATTCTGTAATAATGGCGAATGGTTGCAAAAAGTG